TCACCCCGGAATTCTCTACAATTCACGCTGCATGCGGGTAAAACAAAGGGGAGATAAAATGGGTCGACCAGCGAGCCGAATGAGGCCACGAGCCGGCTAACCAATGACGGAAGCACCAAGCAAGATCGAACTCCGGAAGCATGGACCGTGAGTGCAAACTCACATCCTTGGTTTTACTCAGGTCACTAGCTTTTTCCCCCTACAAGCGTTTTTCACTACAAGAGTTTTCTACTGTACGAGTTTTTGCACTACAAAGGCCTAAACCTACCTAATCTTCGCCCTTCCACTCCAAGAGGATCAACTCTCACGCGGTTCTCACGAGAGTTCTCTATTGCTAGAATTTTGTACCACAAGAGCTTACCGTAACCTAAGCTTCACCCCTCCACTACAACGGCTACTTCCTACAACAGTACACACACAAGAACTCTCTACTACTAGAGCTCTGTAATACTACAAGATCCTACCATATGCCAGACTTCACCTCTCCACTACAGGGTCTAGAGACCTTGACAACAGCACTTTCTGCCCGGTCGGGATTGGAGCACGCGCGGCAAGGTGACGAGCAGAGGTTTCAGTCATGATTATAATGCAATTAAATGCAAAGGTGCAAGCGTGCTGGACAAGTATGACAAATATCCCTCGAGAAGGGGAACAAGAGGGACAAAGGACAAACACAAACCTCCAAACACAGCTAGTGCGCGACCGAAAAAATCCACCTGGTCCGGGTATCGAACCCGGGACCTCTCCATTTCCAGGGGAGCGCTCCCCACCTCTTGCGGCGATAATATTTGGAGAGAAAAGAAAAGAAAAAAAGAAAGTGAGCCTATAATTTGCGTGTCCTTGATGCGTTTTTCTGCCAAGCTACCCCCTGGCCTTGGAAACCTGGCGATTGTTGGAGCTACTCGATGCGTGCGTGACACGCCGGAACCGTTCTCTCCCCTCCGGGGGGGGGGGGGGGGGGGGGGGGACCCTTTCTGCTCCCCCCTTTCCCCGAAACGGTACACACTCACGGGACGCTCTACTCGGAGCGTGAAGTGCCGTCGCCGCCGCGCGTGCGTGCGTGACCCACGGCCATTTTCGGGCACTCCACGGCCCGGGCAAAGCCTCCTGTCGTGAGCCACACTGATGAAGAAGAGCACGTTGCACCGTGACTTCAGCCCTTCAGCCAAAACTGACATTGCGATGGAGGCTACGGACTCGTTGGAGCAGCATCTTTCGCCACGTGCGCGCTCTCGCCCACAATTACGCGCAGAGAGCGGGACTACGTGATGAGAGGCAAGCGGTTGACTGGTCGGGCGAGCACTTAGCTCTCATCGCACTGTTAACTTGGGGTTAACGTTACTAAAACACTCAGTTGGGAAACTGCCGTAGAGACTGCTTTGAAAAGTGGCCCCGATCTGTCCACGAGAACCGAGCTAATGGCAAACACAACACTGCCACTTCCCCACAGCGGCCACTCGAGGAACTGCACGGGACTTCCATTTTGGCTTTAATCGGCCATTTTGGTGCCGAAACAGGTACAGCAGAAGAGGTTACAGGGGTGCCACCCCCGTCTCCCCAGCGGACGCGCCGCGACTTACAACCGAAGTTAAAATGCACCTAGGTCAGGATGCGCTACCTGAAAGCACCGCTGAGGCATGGTTGTATTAAAACAATAATAACTGTGCCGCAAAACCCTGCAAACTAAAGATTTTAAAAACATCACGCGCCCTTCATTTTGTACAAAACTCCAATAAATTTCATACAAAAAGAGTCTTTTCCGTTTGTTTTTATGCAAACACATGCTTTGTAAAAGCTCAAGGTGACCACAGTACCGACAAATGATAAAGAGTGGCGCTGTTGTCGTATTTAGCTCGGTCTCGGTGGACGAAAGCGGCCCAAGTTTCGACGGCGAGTTTCTCAACTGAGTGTTCTAGTAACGTTGCTTGGGGTTGAACGCAAGGCCGTAATGCTTAATCTCCTACGTCACCTACCGAATGCCAACACAGACAGACTATACTTCGATAAATCCGTCACCGTGCTCGTTGCATTCTGGGAACCTGTGGGCCAGGAGGGGAACGCGTGTGGTTTTTGCTTCCCACTGATTCCCACAATGCATAACGTGGCATTACGCCGCCATGAGGCGCATCGAGTTTTGGAATAAGTCTGATCCCGTGGACCCCGTGCAACGGAGCGGAGTGCTGTTCGAGTTCTCTCACGACGCGTTCGACACATTCTCACGACGCGTGGTGGCAGAAGCAAAAAGCTCTGCAGTGAGAGGGTTCGAAACCGCGCGTTTTTAGACGGGATCGTGTGCCACGCAGTACTTGTAGAAGATTTCGCGGGCGATAAGCGAGCTTCTATGTATTTTTATGCCGTAATGTGTTGCGACATACCTCAGTTAGGTTCGTGAATTTCTAAACTGTTTTTTTTCTTTTCTTAGAATAAGAACTGGGGGGAGGGGGGGGGGGGGGGAGGGAGGAGGGGATTGTTTTGCATTGTCTCCAATTACTATGGCATCATTGGTTGAGTACTCAACACTTGACGAAGCTAAGCTCCTCCCACCTCTTTCCACTTTAGCAGAGCGTACGCTGGAGAGGAGGCAACATCCTCTCCACCGTTCGTTTCGCTGAAGTCGAAAGGGGTGGATGAGCTTCCACTTCTTTCTTGACCTGTCACCGACCATAGCATAAACGGAGAGCCTTCCGATACACAGAAACAAATAACTAAAATCTGAAAAAAAAAAAAAAAGAGAATCGGGGGGAACGGGAAAAGAGTTTGATTTAGGATTAAAAAAAAAAAAAAGTCAACGCGATAACGTAATTTTTTTCTCTTTATGTCGTGAGTGGGTGTAAGTATATTTGTGGCTTTAGACTCCCTCGACCAGTTTCGTTAAAGTTATATTTTCGTTCACTACATTCAAAACATATTCCTTTGGGCGTATCGCGTAACGGTGAATGGATTAATATCCAACGCTTTAGTTCCTTGGAAACACTGCACGCCGAAGTTAATGTGTTGCTGCTCCATTAAAAAAAAAAAAAAAAAAAAATATATATATATATATATAAAACTGAGCGAGAGTAAACTGCGACACAGTGCAGAGGCTGAGCCTGTAACATAAAGAGGAAAAGACTGCATCGCCTGAGTTCTGTCTTTTACATCGTGTTATTCGTCCACCTGAAATATCGTACAACGCGATCCCAAACCTGACAGTTCAAGAGTGTGGGCAATCAGGATCGAAAGCTTATGACCAACGTGATTTTATATATCGACATGAAACGTCGAGTTGGAAAAAAATAAAACATAGCAAAAGGCACGAACGAGATTGATTTAGAATCAAAAAGACATCCGTGGGGTATTCTGCATGATTTAATTCAATAGTATATCATCTCTCGCTTCTGTTGGCCCTTTTGTGCAATAATCTGCATCCATCATATACATATATAAAATACACAAAGGGAAGAATGGTGGGATCGTGATCAAGAGATCAAGAGCCGACAAACAACACATTACGAAGAGCAAACATATCGCACGTCTAATATCAGACCAGCACTACTAGCTTTACCACATAAAATAACGTGCAGCATGCAGCAATCAACTTAAACTAAAATTAATTAAATGTTTTACTCGCAAGTCGTGCGAAAGAACCCGATTAAAAAACAAGAAAACGGACCGAATCCCAGAACATAAGAAAGGAACATAGCGAAGTCGCTTTCATGACTCCTCGTCAAAGCTGGCTTCCCTGCACAGCGCCGGGGTTTCAAACTCGTTCAATCGGCTCAATCCGGCATTCCGAACGGCCCGCAAAAATTAGGCTACCCATAAAATAACGCCTAGAAAAGAAGACCAGCCAACGACAATCCAACCGTCCCGATAAAATAAAAATCGCGCACAAAAATGCACCGGCCGCAGCAGCAGCAGCAAATGACGTGAGCAAGCTTACCAGTTGACGTCGATCAGGTTCGTACGAAGAGAAAGTCCAGCCTCAAAACACGTTCATCGTCGTCGGTCACTGACTCACGCAACTCGCCAAAACAAAATAACCATCGCAAAAAAAAAAAAAAAGGGCCTTGATCACCGATAGTCCTAAAGAGCAGGTTAGCCGTATGCTTGGCCGTCGTCTCCCGCGCTCGCCTGCATGGCTTCAAACGTAGGCGGCGGCGAACATCGGTCGTACGCGCTCGAACTCACGCAGCATTGGTTCGCCGTTAGAAACAGCATGGACGCGCCCTTGGGAGACGAGTGGATCGGTTATCGACGACAAGAGCTTGCAAGATCGTGGAACAAACAACGGCGGCGGGAAGGCAGAGCGCACAGGCAAAGACCACCGAGCAACGCGGCCGACCCAACCCCCACACACGCTCGGGGAGCGTTCGTCTGCTATTTTTGTTTGTTTAGATTAATTGCGTTTTTTTTTTCTTTTTTAGGCATTAGTTTACATTTTTAGCCGCTAGATGACGCCTTGTTCTGAGCGCGTTCATGTGTTCGTACTTACGATTCTAGAGTTGGAAGATAGAAACTCTTAGTGGACGAAAAAAACACAAAACAAGAGCAAAAACAAGTCTGAATATAAATTTATCTTGATTTTTTTTTAATATATAATTAAGGCGCTGGTTTGATCATGGACACTTTACAACTTACAAATTTTCCATTCTCTGATGGTATTGTCATTTTTCAGGGCAGCTATGCGAAACCGAAACTCGCGCAAAGCTTGCGGAACTGGTGGCTCCATCTATGATTTAGATTGAACACCACTGAGGTTGTGGCTGTATTGTGGCGCCATCTCTTTGAAAGCGGTTACACTTGATCATTTCATACGTGGCGCCATCTTTGCGCGGAAATTAGAAGTGACGTTTCACTTCCCATGGCGCCATTTACAAATAACCCGACGGGCCCGCCGAAAACGGAAGATGGCTCGGTTTAACTAGAGTTTAAATAGGTCTACCTAACTGTATGCAATCCGCTTGAGAAGACTTACTCTAGGTCTCACCAAGGTCAAGATGCCAAGTGTCGGAACTCACTTTTCCTTCACTTGTACGAGGGAGCCACTGCTTCGATATCGAGAGGAGAGCAGAGTGCCGACCGACTTACGCGATTGCCTGTAATAAAAAGGAAAAAAAAAAAACGAAGTGGGATACTTTCTGAGCGACACAGCAGCAACACATGAGCGGTTTTTTTTTTTTTTTAGTTTTTTTAGCTTTTTTTATCAATATATTAATGCAGGCAGGGAACCACCACAGCGCGAACTGTGTTGGGGCCTCTACTATAGTACATATTAATCACACGTCAAAATTACCTGATTATTCCAGTTTTTACCCTTTTTTACTAATTTGCGTTCAAGAAACAACAACTGTTTTCCCTTAGCGTAAATAAATTTCGATTTACCTCTGGAGCCTCTACTTGATATTCGTAAGATATTGCGCTGCCTGCGCTATTGTGAATACCTTATTTACAGAATCTGCGTCGAATGCAAACTCCGCAGCATTTGGAGAGCTTAGATGGTGTTGTAACGTTTTTGCTTGCAGTCTCGTCGTTCCAAAACACGTCATAACATAGGGCGTCATGAATCCTGGGGTGAGCCTCTAAAATAATCTGGAAAAAGGAGAGCCTGCACGATATTAAAATTTCACCAAAGGTGCATCTCAGTGGCGCATTTTACCGTATGAAATTTCAAGGTGTAGTTATTTTCCTATTATAAAACACAGACGAACAGGTTAACCGACGGTTGCACTTATGCCGCCACCATCTCAAGCATACGACGGGGCAGTCTCTTTTCGACCAGGTACCGTCATCTGCTTGCTTCGCCTGCCGGGAGATGGCACCAAAAGGCGCTCTATGCCAGCTCTATGCTAAAGCCCCTCGATGTGTTTGCGTTTGTCTTGCAAGTAGCGTCAAATGCGCGAGTGCACGAGGCCCATGTCTCGAGCGGCCCTTGGAAGCAAATGGCGGCGCAGCACTGAAATGAGCGGGCCTTGGAAGCGAATGGCGGCGGAGCACCCGCTCATGGCACGTATCTCGAGCGCTTCCACAACAATGGTTGGCGGTACTTGTAAAAAACGCTTTTATCAAGGGGCTTTACTCTATGCTCGGTTATCTCGGTCGTGTGCATCGGCGTTCGCCATTGACAACGTCAAAAGTGCCCAATTTTCCACAAGAAGGGGAGCTACAATTTCAGAGGGTAAAATGCCCAATTCATACATATATTTGGTGAAAATTTTGAGCTCGTTAGGCACAGGCGCCGATTTTTCCGGTTCATTTTGGAGCGAAACCCACGATTCCTAACACCCCGTATTTTCACAAATATACACGACTATACTTTTCACGGGAGCTGTGAGAGTTGGCAAATAAGCAATTAGGGTATAGAGTTGCAGAGACTCCGTTTTGATGCGGCACTCTTTTCACGATAGACCGTGAGACAATAACCGCACGTAGCTCTGATGGCATGACTAGCTGTGAATCGGTCAATTGCCATTATATGTTCGAGTAACTGTAATTTAAGTAAATTATAAGTTCCTCTAATGCGGGTGGAAACTGAGGGAGAGAAGTAACCAAGAGCGCGCGGGAAGGCTCTAGGGCGCCCAGCGGTGACTGGAATGATGAATTGCGCATACCCACCAATAATTCCAGTCAGAGCTTGGTGATCTGACGTCTACTCCTTTCCCCCAGTTTACACCCGTGTTCCTGTAGTCATGCAAATTTGCAAAGGACTGAACTTTCAGATTAATCTGAGAAGCAGTTATATAGTTTCTGATAACTAATCTCGGTACTTTCAAGTAGTTCCAATTAGACACTTTACAGCTCCGTTTTCGAACCCCATCCTTGACAACACGCACGAGGCTCGGGGTAATTAATCTCTGCCTTCTGGTGCGCGCGCGCACTCGGAGAGAGAATTAGGGAACGAACCTTTGTCGTACTTCCTTTTGAGGACAATGAGGGAGGACACCAAGATGGCGCGGTGGGCGCCATTCCGTACGCCCAGCTCCTTCACGTCCCTCTCGGACATCCACAGGATCTCCTGAAAAAGAACACCACTGAATTATAGTACAACCAAGTCTGCTGGACTGGCGACAGTAAAGTAATTGTGTTGCGTGTATGTTTAGCCAGTGGAGAGTTAGTCAGCCCCAATGGGCGTCTGGTGTCTCAACCGTAGATAAGAAATTTAGCGAGTGCAGTACCACTGTGCGCCATCCAGACTGCTGCACTTGGGGCAGCCGTGGGCTGGTTTCAAGAACGTGCAGTGAAGAGCGCCCTCAAACATGGTGTCTAGTGAATACTAAGGTGAATACGTACTATTGTTATTGATCAATAGAGTTTTAGCCTTTTCTTACAGACGCTTCTTTTTCTTTTTATAACAGAATAGTATTGGCAACGATCGGTTGGCAGTCGCTTTGTCTGTAAAGAAGATTTTGTTCCACAGGGCAGGAGAAACATAACGTTCTACGAGGAAAGGTGCGGGAACAGGTCTGCATAGTACCGACGCGATAGAACGCGTATACTATATCCGACTCACCTCTACGCCCCCGTACTTGCAGAAGAGCACGGAATACTGGGGCAGGTCCAGGTTCTGGAGCCATACGTCGATGTCCAGGTGGGGCTTGCCGCCGGTGTCCACGGACATCACCGGATCGAACCCTGCGAAAATCCGGATGATACAATCGGTCGTTTCTTTACGTTTTACACTACGTTCTACAATCACGTACAGTGAAGAAAAAAAAAATCGCGTTTAACGTTTAGTTTGGTCATCGTGGGTAGAAGGCCCCCGTGATCCGGCAACCACAAACTCAGCGGTGCATGCTGCCACCAGACAACCTTAAACCGCGCTCACGCTGCTTATTTACGCTATGCAGCAGCTGTGCACGGGCGCCGCCATAACCGACATTCAGTTTTTTGTTTCCTCTTAGTATGCTCACTTCATCATTACCACATGCAGGGCAGGTTATTGCCACTTTAGATTACACTGCGTCCTTCTCCCCCGCATTGGCCTTCGCGGAGGCTGGCCTGCTTCAGTGGCTCGGCCTCTGGGTAAGACGAGAGAAGGTCAGCAATGGCGGCTGTAATGTGGCGCGCGTGTGCAAAGCGCGTCTATACATCATGCAAAAGACAGTGTGCATGCAGATTCGAATGCGGGTCATTGCGAGATCCGTTCTTCGAAAGCCACATGGCCGTGAGTTCGAGGAGAAAATCTAGGCACGCGGCATTCGAACCGCGAGTACTGCGGTGACCCCTGTCTGCAGACTGTCTTTTGCGCGATGTGCGAGCAGTGTGACCCCGGCGCTTAAAGTCGCGGTCACACCAGTTAATGCCAGAGTCCCACTAGAGCGACAAACAGATACAAACGACAGCGACAAGCCTCAAACCAGAGTCTTTCGCGATTCGAGAGGCTTTGTAGAATAAAGGAGGCTATATGCTCGAACACGAGCATTGTGCACGCGAGGGTATCTTTGACAGGCTTGGAATCACTCGTGCTTACTTCACGAGCACCGAATTACTAAACGCCTGCCGAAGGTACCATTGTGAGCATGCTGCACGTGTTTGACGCGTGTCGCTGTCGTTTGCTTTTGTTTGTGGCTCTAGTGGGACTCGGGCATAATACATCACACAAAAGACAGTCTGCAGATATGTTCGAAGCACACATATACAGGGTGTCACAAATGAAAACTTACACGGTCTTTTTTACCGCAAAAATAAACTAGGCATCGCCGAACGCTCATTCTCCGCCCAAAGGTAGTGCTAGAGGTCACAACCAGATGCCAAAGTTTCAGCCCGATCCGATAATTTAATCAAAAGTTATAACTGATTTTCTGAAAATTCCAATGGGAAAATGGAGCCCATTTTTCCCCGTTTTCGGTTTCTGGTGCCACAGAGCCCCATGTGTTCGAAAACTCCGTCGGCCGCCATTTTCCCATTGAAATTTTCAGAAAATCGTTTATAACTTTTGATTAAATTATCGGATCGGGCTGAAACTTTGGCATCTGGTTGTGACCTCTAGCTCTACCTTTGGGCGGAGAATGAGCGTTCGGCGATGCCTAGTTTATTTTTGCGGTAAAAAAGACCGTGTAAATTTTCATTTGTGACACCCTGTATATATGTAAGTAGCAAAGATGCTTCGAAGGTGCTTAACACGGTTCCGCAGATAATTCTGTCATCATGTCCGCCTTTCTTGTTTGCTTGTTTGTTTCTATTCTGCCCGATTCATCTTGTCACTCGTGGTCGTCACTCGAGACGAGGGCGACCGTGCACACTGACGCTACTCGCTTTCTCATCGACCCAGGCTTCGCTCGTGTTCGTCGCTGTTAGGGTCCAGTCGCAGGGCGTTTCGGGCGAGCCCCACGCACGATCGACGCGTACAAGATGCGGAAGCCACGCAAAGATGGCACGCTGTTTTCCGCTCTTTGCCGCATCGTGCGCGACCAGTACACGACCGGAAGTATACACTATTCGGGTGAACGTCAGAGCGCCATTTCGTCGGACTCTTCTTGCACGGTGACAAACCCAATTGCTAAGAGCATCATCAAGATGGACAGAATTGGGAAAGGTCACTCTCCAAACGAGCTTAGTTAGCAGCGGGGGGTCATGCATGCCCCAAAATGGCGGCCAATATGGCGTCTCCGCGAATAGCACACTTTCAGGAGTACGGCGAAACGGGAGGCGCTGGGTTAGAGCCACACTGCTCGAAAATCGCACACCAAAGACATAGTGTTCATTGCAGACATGATAACAGAAGCATCAGAGGAGACGTCTCGAGCATGGTCGAAAGCACGTTTGCTTCGTGCATGTATATGTATGTTTCCAAAATTTTCTGCAAACAGATTTTGTATGGCCAACATGACAAAGAAGAAACATGGTTCGGACACCGTCTGCAGATTGCCTTTTGTATGGTGGTATTAGTGGCCTCACCGCGGATTTCTTGAACGAGCCACGCACAACCTAACGCATTAGTGAACAACGCACAACTTCTTTGCAAAAAACAAAGACACAAACGTGTACCTCTGTTTGTTTGTTTTTTTTTTTGTTTTTTTTTTTTTTTTTGCTACATTGCGTTGCGCAGCATGAGGAAAAAGCGTGACCTTTTCGAGGGTATGGACCGATGGGCCTTGTCAGCCGACCTCGACAAGAGGAAAGAACTCCTACGTTATTTTTTTATTTTTTATTTTTTGTGGACTATTCGTCTGCGTGGCCTCAATGTATTTTCGTACTACACACGGATCGATTAGACACTGTGGGGAGAGCGCGTATATAGGATCGAAGTCGATTAGTGTCCATCGATGATTCAACGAAACACATAGTTAAAACAATGTAGACTGACGATCGTGTTGATTGAGTTGAGGAATTCCGAAAGAATGAAGACACGGGTGGGACGAGGGCAAACCTGCGTCTTATTCTTCCGGTGTTCCTTCAACTACGGTTAACGCGACTCTCGTTCCACACGCCTCGGCGTCCGCTTCTATCATCAGCTCGAGGCTGCAGCCTGTACGTGATATATACGTCTCCGCGCATCTAATCATACACACTCCGCGACACCGTTAGCGCGAACGAGCCATCGCCGGTTTTCTCTATTTTGCTCTCGGTATCGAGTAGCTGTCGTCAAAACTACCATAGTGGTGGAAAGTGCTCAGATGGGATACTAACCTAAGGAGCCGATTTTTATACCCGCCAGTACTTTATTTATTTATTCGAATCTTTATTTTTTGGTTTCTAAGTAAAATGCGAAAAAGCGCCCAAGTCGCGAATTGCGCTAACAGTGTCGCGCGTAACTGGACGGACATAGATTCATTCTTCTTTATAGTAGAAAACATCGAGCTGACGCCTTCTTCGTTTAATAATAATAATAAAAAGAATCAACGCGTTTAAAAATTGAATTATAAATAAAAGCGCATGTTTTCGTTTCGTTGGAATTCTATACAAACCAAATGAGTTGGACACTTGGGGTAAAAAAGGGCCAATTTCACGACCCATTCGGGTACCACCACTATGCGTATACAAATAATCCAACTAATATAACCGCACATAAACGCGAATATGTAACCTCGAAATCGGAACAAAAAATATCTTCAGACTCCATCCGAACAATGTGTATACAGTACACCACAGCTGCAGACAAAGAAGGCGTCCTATATAGTATAGGGTCTATTCACTGGACGCCATATTTGTGGGTGCTGTTTAGGGCGCATGCTCAGAATGAGCTCACATTAATAGGCTGCTAAGACCGGCAACCTTGACGGTGTGGAGTGCACGTGCCAAAATAACTGTGGAAGTTCGCCATCAGCACGCGCTCAGCAATCGCGCACACAGCTATGGCCGCCGGTGAATACACCCTATATGTACACCTAACTTCCGCAAGCTCGTAGACAGCAGCAGAGCCCTCCGACCATACATAACACGCACTGAACTCCCAGAGAAAGAGAGAGAAGTTAAAAATAAATGACGAAGAAGGGAGGCTAGTCAGGATCGCCGTTATGGAGACACGACCTTCCAGGGGTTACGTGCACCTTGACAAACGGGTCACATACAAAGCGTTACCTAATCATTAAAAAAAAAAAAGATAATTAAAAAAGAAACCGTCTGAGGAAGCAACGCAAAGCATAAGAACTCGCTCGAAAACTCCTCGTTGAACGGTGCCACGCACGATTTCTTCGGCGAAAGCAGCTACGGCGGCGGCGGCAGCAGGAACACATGTACGTACTACGTCGTGCGAAGCAACGTATATCCTACGTTTTTATTCTTCCAACGTCACGAAGAAAAGAAAAACCGTACGCGCAGGCAGACAGCTGCTGGGGCGGCGCACGGCGTCGCTCGCCCCGGCTGCGCGTACTTGCACTTCGCAGAACTACTATATTCCAAAACGTCGTAGACTCCTCTCCGGAGAGAGAGAGAGAGACGCGGCTCAGCTGCAGCTCAGCCGCCCAGTCTCACAACACGAGGAGAAAACCACACATAAAACGTGAAATGACAGGCTAGCGCGCGCACAGAAGTGTATACGTACTGCCCAGACCGGTTATAACGAAGTCGGCAATAACGAAATAGCGGCTTTACAGCGAAGCGATCACAATTTCCGATTCCATTTTGCGCTTCGTTATAACCGAAGTCGGTTATAACGAAATAGCGGATATAGCGAAGTCATTTCCGATTCCCGTTGACTTCGTTATAACTAGAATGTGTATTTTCCGGTTTTAACCGAAAAACACCGATAAACATCCTTCGGTGGCTAAAATATAAAATCGGTTAAAACCGAAAAACACCGGTGGTTGGCTATTTTCGCCCTGGTTAAAACCGAAAAACACCGGTCGTTGCTAGTTTCCGACCTAGCGAAACCCCTTCCCCGTAGAGGTTCGCCAAACGTGTTATCTCGTGGATCCTGCATTCTTCCAGTGTTTATACAGGGCTTGCAGGTGGCGTCAGTCCGCCCTCCTTTCTGGGGGTCAAAAGCGTCCAGTGAACGCAGTGGAAGCTAAGCTCTCATACGCCTTTCACCTATTGCGTCTCCCATGGCCCCCTTTTGTGGAAAAATCAACGCGGTGGGGGGTAGGCTCTCATGTGCCTTTTCCTCATTGTGTCTGGCCAAGTGATGTCGGTTCAAGCCATGTATTCAGAGGTTGCTCTGGTTTCTGGAAGACACTGCCAACGTCC